TTGTTTTTTCTACTAAACATTTTAGCAGTCTAAAATGGCAAAAGGATCATTTCAAAACCCATACAAAACTCTGATCCAAAAACAAGCCAAGTTGACTTAGGAAGTCCAATTAAATTCCCAATTTCTACCCAACTCTTGATCCAAATTTAATCATTCCATTTCAGTTAATTTGTTGACCATAATTAGTTCCATAAATGCAATTCACTGCCAGTGGAATAACTACAGTTATTACTGTGGAGAAGGGAATACAGAAAGTTTGGAAGATAGTTGGAAGAAATGAGAGCTGGAGAGTGGGGGAAAATACTTAGAACAGCAAGAAAATTATGAACAAGAACAAGGTAGAAGTATCAAGCAGATCTGGGAATTAAAAATAAGGAAGGCTGAGCATGGATTGCATAGCACATATGATTAAAGGAAATGTAAGACGAGAGAATAGAAGGCAGGTTGGTTAAAATAATGCTCTTCTTCTAGCTCATTTATACTTTTTGAAGTATATCTTTCTATGTAGCATGTGACATTTTCCCATTTACCTAATTTATATTCACATCTTAAAATTTAAAACAGCAGACGATAAAGCTTTACGTTTAGTAGCAGATTTCGATGGGCAAGGGAGGAAAGAAGAGAGACAAAGAGAGGAATTAAGAGTATCTATCTATTCTCCTCTATGCAAGGACAACCCAAGATTTACTTAGGTATCAGAAGAAGGATACCATGTTAAAATTACATCATCTTTTAGGAAGGTAGTAAAAATGTAGTCTTCATTTTCATTAATCTTTTCCTGATTTTTAAAACTGTTATCAGACTCATATTATTAAAAAGAAACTCAAGACTGCAGAAAGCAGTAACTTTATTCTATATTAGTCTTCATACTCAATAGGAAAAAATCAAGATGAAGGAAAAGAAAAGGAAGAAGAAATAAACAGCAATGTAAAAGAAACCCACAGCTCCTTATGAAACTGCCTTGTTCTGGATATGTGTCCATTCTATGATAAATTGTTCTAGCTCATTTACATTGACGCCATATTACTATGCTAAGATAGTTGGATTCTGCATTTATTTCTCCCACAGCACACTTGTCAATAAAGACTTCCATGTCTGAACTGAAATATGTTGTCTCTGTCTCTAAGATAGGGGACAAATATTTTTCTCCAACCATTGATACCAGGGGAAGGCATTTTTCTTTAACTTCCAAGCTAGGATAGAGATTTTAGTAATATGCTGGGATGAAAATTAATCCTTTGCTTCACAGGCGTGTCTTTTTTATTTTTCATTTTTTTATTTATTTAGTTTCTCACTCATGTACAAGATAACAAATAACTAATTTCCCCTAAAAATTGTACCAGTTTGGGAATTAAACTGATTGAAATCAGTTGTCAGGAATAAAAGCCACAGAACTTCTATATGAATATATCTTAGAGGGGGAAAATGTTGGTGATATTTAGGACTCTAGAAGAATTTTTCCAAGCAGAACTTCCAGATGTGTTCAACCAAAATTCCCATTCGGATTGAGCCAATTTATAGCATTTAAAAACTAGCACATATGGTAGATACCACATAGGGAAAGTTTGTCCTGGAAAACATATTTGGAATTTGGACCCAAGGCCTAGCTATTTGTTCACAAAATGATCTTCAGCTTTGGAATTAACTATGGATACATCTGAAGCACTTTCTAATATACCACTGAAGAATGGAAACATGCTGTATCCTGACGATGAAAATACCTAGATAAATGTTAGAACAAGGTAAATGCTAGAAAAAGACTAAGCTATGAAGTATTACAATCTTCATAATTGCATTAGTGATTTCTTAAAGAAACCTCCTGAAAATTGGAAGAGAAATTGTTTCTGCAAATGTTCTTAGTAATCACAGCATTCAAAAAACATCTCAGCAACAGCATCTGCTTTTTAATCCCCAAAGGAAAATAAATCATAGGAGTGGCAAATGTTATAAAAATGCCCCTAGCATTGGGTACTTGGGTCTTTTAACAGCAGTCATTAATGCTAACAGCAGCTCTAAAACCACACAGACGTCTGTAAACAAATAATAATCTCTCTGTCTATAAACTGACAGGAATGATGCTAAATTATATTCATTTTTCAAACAGCTTGATCCCAACTCAACTGGGGAATTAATTATACATGAATCCACAGTTCCAAGATCTTAGAAGCTAGAAACTAAATGATTTAATCGCAGCTTGCCCCCGGTGCCCTGTGTCTAATGATAAAAAGGTAAATATTGCTTTGTAATAAAAAGATAAAAGATGCACTCAAGTTGTACTCAATTCTTGGTGGCTTGGTGATTTGGCAGCATTTGAAAAGTAGCTTGTTACAATCTTCTTTGTGATTTTTTAAAAATTTCCTATTCTAGCAAACATCCCTGGAATTTTCAGGTGTTTTCCCCATCCAAATCCTAACTCAGGTTTATTCTACTCAGATTCTAAATCAGATAATAGTAATAGCACTTAGATTTATATACTACCCCATAGCGCTTTAAAGCACTTTTTGACTATTTACAAATGTCAGCATATTGCCCCCAATAATCTGGATCCTCATTTTATCGACCTTGGAACCATGGAAGGCTGAGTCAGCCTTGAGCGATCAGGTTTGAACTCCGGGCAGAATTAGCATGAATACTGCATTCTAACTACTGTGTCACCATGGCTCCACATTATTTATGCCATTTGGATGATTTAACACAGTAATGAAAATTCACTAATTTAGAATTATACACCAGGAGACTTAATCCAAAATGCTCATACTTCATTCTAAGCAGATGCAGGGAGGCCAAATAACATGGCTCAGTAACAATGAAATCCTGCCCAACAGATGCCCCACTCTCTTTCAAAAGAGTTACTTTCCTGCCACAGCAAGATTGAAGAAAATAAACACTGGTTCTACTTCACCATCTGCAAAAAGTAACTATCTATTTCAGGAGTCTCTCCACACTCGGCAACTTTAAAACTTGTGGACTTTAATTCCCAGATTTCCTCAGTCATGTTTTAATGTTGGCTGGCTGAGGAATTCTAGGAGTTGAAGTCTGCAAGATGCATATGGAAACTCAATACAAGCAACCCCTGAGTTAAGTACATCTGACTTAAGGACAACTGCCAGATGCAAATGGGCTGCCTGTCACTAAAAAGTGTGGACAGAATTTTCTTCCTCGAGCAAAGGAACTGCTGAGGTTGCATGTGTTTAATATACATCCTATTTTCAGTGGTTCCTAAAAGGATTGAACAGCTTCAACATTTGTTAGCTTGAGAAAAGGCAACACTGTCTGTCAGTTTTAGTAATAGGTTGTCCAATTGTAATTATAAATTCCAACTCAAAGATGCTTTTTACAAAAGGCAACTGGACTTTCTTGATTTTTTTACTTTGAAAACATTTTGCTTCTCATCCAAGAAGCTTCTTTAGTTCAAAAAAAGTCTTCAGAAACTCCAGTTACCTTTGGAAAAAGCACCTTTGAAACAACCATGACTTGGATAATTGAGAATTTCCATAGACATACAAATTCTGACTTACATACCGATTTAGGCTAAAGGCAAAATTAGGAACAGAGTTTGTTCTTAACCCGGGAGGTAGGGGGTGGATGTCCATAAACACGTAATCTCTTAGTTAAAACTAATACTTAATTGCATTAATTGTATTCCTTAAGAGATATACTGGAACATCTATTGGAGGGAAAGACTGCATGAGTCTTTGCAGTCAAGGATAAATATTTTAGGCTTTCTGACCTTCTAAAATCAATACCAATATGTTCATAATGATTATAACAACCTTGCACCCATTTATTTATTCATTCATTTGCAGTTTGTTCTTTACTTAGCTCAGCTCATTTTCCCCTCTGAGGCATTCACCACCATGTATCTGAAACAGAGGCGATTAATCCTTTCTGTACCAGATATTTTCAAGGCTAAATTTTGTGGAAAGTATTTCTTATTGTCCCCAAATCCATATTTTTATTACATGTGTTCAAGATGTAAACTAATTATTTCTGCTAGAATAAAATACACTGTCAAAATAAAGATCACAAGGGGTGCTATTGTTGTTACAAATTTGAGTGGCTCCGATAGACCTTTGTCCAAAAAAAAAAAATTAAAATAAAATTGAAGAAAAGTTTTCATATATTACTTAATATAGGAGCAAGTTCATAAAAATATTTATTGCAGTATAAATAGTATAATATAGTTTTGGGAAAAGAAAGAATGGCAAGTGGTTTGGATATAATCTAAGAAGCTGATTCTACTAATGTGATGCATGCAATTTGGTCAAAATGGTAGCCATAATAGTGCAACACAGATAAAAACTGGAAGTTGCCATTTGACTTTTTCACCCCACCCCATAAATACTTTGTTGTGGATAAAGGAATTTCCTTGGTTACCAACACTTGTTCTAGAATATACAGGAAAAAAAAGGAAATATCTTTGAGCAGTTACTTAAATAGTCTATGGCAGCATTCTCAAGAAAATGTGTGAAGCCTCTTAACTGCCAAGATAAGAAAGCTATATGGTAAAAGAATTAGTGCAGTGTAGTTCTTAAATAATATTTCATTTTAACTATGTTTTTACATATTTCTTGCCTCAAAATGACGGAAATTATGCTCCCGATGTTTGGTGGCCCAAACTAGTTCTTCAGAGATCAAAACAAACAAAGAAGAAAGTTACAGGGTTGTATGTGTTTCTGGAATCTGGTTACTCACAGGACATAATGTAATGCTTTACAAATAAGCTTCTTTGAGGCTGGGCCAAATATAACCCTTCTCACAGGTCATGGCTATGAGAAAATAGGAAACTTATGTTTTCAAATTTAAACTGATCAAGAAGCAGAATTAAATAAAGGTTTATTAATGCAAGTCAGAATTGCTACTTTAAAATTATTATAGTTTAGCTAATCATAATTCACAGTTAACAAAAAGTGAATATTTCCAATTTTCTTCTACTTTCCTTTTGTTTTAGAATACTTATAACTTGTGATCAATGAAAGACAAGAATATGGTTCACTTACTTTTCAAGGTATTTAACCAACTCTGCAGTGTTCTCTGTTGACATTTTTATTTGAAGTATTATCTGTAAAAAATAAATCAATTTTTTCAGATTCATTAAACTAATCATTGTAGTCTATTAAGGTAGCAAATGTCACATTATTAAATGTCTTGCAGAAATTTTAAAATAGTCAGAAAAAGTACATTAATCACTTTTAGTTCTATTTATGTAGAACACAATCAATTTTGGCAAGTAAGGCGGTAACTAAAATTCATCTAATCGGGTCTGAGGCTACAAATAGAGACTATTCATGTTAACATACAGTAATAATTATACATAGTATAGAATTGGGAGTTGAAGTCCGGACATCTTCAAGTGGCCAAGGTTGAGAAACACTGGTCTAGAACTCTCAGCACCCTGACCCCTCTCAGCACCCAATTTGGGTCATATTCTTATGTTTTTCTCTCGCCTTTTTAATGTATATTTTGGGCAACTCATGGGGATGAACATACCTAATATTTCTGTCTCCTATTTCCCCTACAACAATTACCCTGTGAGGTGAGATGAGTTGAGACAGTGACAGGCTCAAAGTCACCCAGCTGGCTTTTATGCCTAAGGGAGGTCAAGAACTTAGTCTCTCCTGCTTTTTAGGTCAGCACTCTCATTCTACACAAAACTGGTTCTCTTAAATCTCTTACTGATGTTTATCCCTTAATGGGACCTCTTTTAGTATCTTTATTTGCATTTTCAGTACTAGAAATGACTTGTTTGTGTTGAAAGAGGGGGAAATGAAGCTTTATTTGTTTGCGTGTTTCCATGGAATTTATGTTCTTAAATATTATTGCTGAGACAAACTCTTTCAAATGAGTGGGTAACCTGCATTACAGGTTACTTTTGGCATAGTCACTTTGTCTCAGTCCTGGATTGGAAAATTGAAAAATATCTATTTACCATCCTGCACTGAACCACCATGTTAGATTATGGATGATAATCTTCAGTTACGAGGCCTTAATTCTGCAATGCATTGATTAAGATCATAAATAATACTAATTTATTATTTATATTTCTAATACCACTGATTCAAACAATTACAAAAAAAAATTGAAAATATATTTTCAACAAGTTAGCCAAGTATACATACAGTCAAGTCTTCATTCAATATTTCATCAACAGTCCTCTGTGAGGGGCATGCTCAAAACAACTAAAAGGCAACTTGAAGTTTCCTAGGATAAAATAAAATAAATTGATTTGTTCAGTTATATAGACAATTTTGAGAAATATGATTAATATAATTTAACACAATGAATCCAAATGGAAAAGCAATTCAAACACAATTTAATGAATAGAATTTTATATTGTGATTTTCTAATACCTTTTCATCAACATTGAATAGCCTAATTCAATTATAATCTCTTCTATAGATTACTGTAGTATTTCAAGGCCTCTGAAGGCATCCCATATCAGTCATTCTATTAGAAAAAGGAAATGACATTATATTTTGATTTTAATATTTGGTTTTGTAGAAAGCTATAAATCAGTCACAATAATACTCTCAATCCCAGAAAAGCCTAAATCAAAGTTGGGGGGAAAGCCCTTTATATTTCAATTGAATCTGAATGTCCACTCTAGTATTCTTCTGGATTGCCAGGAAGCTGTTAAAATGTTATTTAAAAAATGAGCAATACCTGTTGGAGCACTTGTCAGAGGAAGTACCATACTTCATTCTGGTTGAAATGCAGAAAAGAAAAACTCTGTATGATTGGTTTTTCTCCCCATTTAGCCTGAAAGGCAGCAGATAGATTCCACAGCATCCAGCACTGTTACTAAACTCCTTTTGTTTATTTTATGTCTCTAGGCAACCAAGATGCCTATTTTCAGTCCCGGAAGTTAGCATGAAAGCTAAGCACTCCTACCAAAGTATGAGTGACTGTGTGTTTGCTTTTCATTCTGTGTTCTGCATTTTGCTTTTCTGAAGCTGGCACACTCTTCTTTAAGATAACACAGTTGCTTTAATCTCTGAGGCTAGATAGGATCCACCATCTTTATATCACTCTAAATAATAGAGAAACGGTTTGGTATTCTAGGAAGGAAATTCCTATGGCATCCTACTAAGCCATACTGCCAGAAACATCTTCCTTCTCTCCCTCCCTCCCTCTCTCTCCCCCCCCTCCCTCTCTCTCTCTCTCTCTCTCTCAATAATAGAAACCTACACAAGTGGTTAGTTCTGTATTAGCTGCCTACTTGAGTAAGAAATACAGTATATTGTCAAGGTTTGCAAGCATGGTATGAGCTAGCAAGGATGGTGCAAGTTTGTGAGCAGAATATAGAAGCCTCCTATAAACAAGTAATGGTGAAATTACACATTTGCGTATATGGACAGGCTGGAAAAGAAGTTTTGCCACTGCTCCTAGTAGCCCACTTAGGAAGTTCTAGTCACTAGAGTAGCTGATTAGTCAGTATGCTGAGCATAAAACAGCTGCAGCTATTGCAACAGGCTTAGATGCAATAAAAACAGGATTTCTGGTATGCAGAAATCTAGCACCATTAGAAATAATAATTAGAAATAGTACAAACAATGGCCAGGGGTAGGTTATGAAATGCGAAGGGGAAAAAGGAAGTTCATCAAATTCTCATTACTTGTCTCTTTTTCAGTTGAATGCTTTGATTAGTAGCAGCAGCCAAATTTTAGCAGAGGTGGTATTCAGTGAGTTCTGAAATTTTGAGTAGTTCGGAGAACTGGCAAATACCACCTCTGACTGGCCCTGCCTCCATCTGTTCACTGCCTCCTGAGTCCCAGCTGATCAGAGTCCCAGCTGATCGGCTGAGTTTTCTTCACAGGAGAACAGAGCTGGAAAGCAGGTTAGTGGGATGGGGAGAGAATGTGGATTTTACAGTATCCTTCCCCTGGAGTGGGGTGGAAATGGAGATTTTACAGTCCTTCCCCCAGGAGTGGGGAGGGAATGGGGATTTCGCAATATCCTTCTGTTGCCACGTCCACCAAGCCAAACCACACCCACCAAGCCATGCCCACAAAACCGGTAGTAAAAAAAAAAATCCCACCACTGATTTAGCACTATCTTTATTCATTATCAGACTCCTCTCCATTAACAGGTTTCTTAAGAGAAGCATGCAATACAGTTGTCTTGATGCAATTAGAATACAAAGGTCCACCCAGTGCTATTCTTTGTCTAGTGCAGAATAAATTTGAAGAACAAAAACAACAACTGCTGCACTAATACTGTAAAAATTGCTGTGCTAGTTACTCTCAGTGATTAAAATGGCCTGGGTGGAGGGGAAAAAAAGAATGAGGTAGCGGCTCAGTGTAGAATACACGCTGCCAAGAGCAAGATGCAATAAAAAGGCAGCATGACATCATCAAGACTGTAAAACAGGAAAGTAGTGGTGATAGGACTGGTAAAAAAGTACTTTGCATTTTGTAGGCTAGATCTCATCCCTTTCAAAGGGATGGAATATATCAGCATCTGTAACTGTTAAAATTGTTGGAGATGTCCAGTTCTTACTTGACCAGAGGAATTAAAACAAAATAAGCTGATAGGCAACAAGACATTGAAAAATAGAACTTTGGTAATTCTGTATACTTAGCACAGTGTGAAAGAATGCATATCTTTGGGCAAGGATGATAATAATGAAATGTTAAAGAAGGAGAAATGATAACCCAGTCTTCAAAAAAATTGAAAGCACAAGAAACAAACTCAAAATAAGGCATCTTACAACAATAAAGAATATTCCTGGAATCTTGCTGCTTCTCTTTCTTAACCTTGCCTGTCGTGATGGATTGACATGAAGAGATGAGAGAGTGTCACTTGTTGATATGATCAAAAGAAAAATTTGCAGATGATACTAAGCTGGCAGGAATAGCTAACACCGTAGAAGATAGGCTCAAGATCCAGATGGATCTTGATAGACTTGAACACTGGGCCCTATCTAACAAAATGAAATTTAATGTAGAGAAAAGAAAACTCCTACACTTAGGTAAGAAAAACCAAAAGTACATATATAAACTGGGTGAAACCAGGCTTAATAGCAGTGACTGTGAGAGGGATTTTGGAGTCTTAGTGAACAACCAGCTAAATATGAGCCAGCAGTGTGCAATGGCACCCAAAAAACCCAATGCAATCCTAAGTTGCATTAACAGAGTGATACAAGCAAGATCAAGTGAGGTACTAATGCCACTCTATAAATCCCTAGTAAGACCACACCTAGAGTACTGCATCCAGTTTTGGCCACCACATTATAAAAAATATGTTGAGACTCTAGAAAAGGTGCAGAAAAGAGCAACCAAAATGATTAGGGGACTGGAGACTAAAACATATGAAGAATGGTTGCAGGAACTGGGCATGGCTAGTCTAATGAAGAGAAGG